GTGTTTTTCTATGCCTTTTGAATCCTTTTGTGTTTTTGATACTATTTTATACTTACCAATAAAGTATTCTTTCCATCTTAATTCTCAAAGGTTATAGAATTCTAGATTTAGAAGAAACACACAAAGAGATTTGTTGTTCCAAAGAACCAAGAGTTCAATCTTCTAATCTTATGAATTTCTATTATAACCTTGCTGCTATGAATCACTTAGCCATGTCTGAGTAGATTCACTTGTTAGATTTAGGGTTCAAAAAGTTATGAGGGATTAGCCCCAACTATGGAATGTTGAGTTGTGATATTCATTATCCAAATGAACCCTAATGCTTACTCTAGAGTAGCTAACTAGAGTATGATCATGGAGTGATTTAACTTGTTAATCATTATCCTGAAATCATTTGGCATAAGCTTAAATCCTCTAGGGATGCGCGAGAGTCGGTCTATGATCTTGGTGAACACAGTTTCGATTTGATCTTATGCTATATTGATCGATACTCTTATAGAGTTATCGATCGACGGCAACCCATATCGTCCGATATCGCTGTCAAAACATCGGTCGATATTGCCGGCAGTAAGATCAATTGACGAGTCTATATAGCGACTGCTATTAGATCTGTCTAAGAATTGAAGTTCTTATATATCTTGCAAGCAACTTACTAAAACATCTATAGCATTATAATCCTGATTATCTGAATAGCAACCTTGAATCTAACTGCTTTCTTTTATTGTTTTAAACCAAAACCTATTCTCTTGAGCAACTTATCATTTCTCACAACTGCAATTTACTATTTTAAACTAAATCAACCTAGCATAATCATTTAGGATTACATCTTTTGTGTTCCTCAGTTCCCTGTGGATTCGATCCCTAAGTACTACAACTGAACCTCTTATTCGAGAGAATAATTCACTCCTTAGGGTTAAATATTTGAGTGATATCAAGTGTGTCGTCCTAATATGTCTGCTTGTATGGTTCAGAGATTTGTGGTTAAAGTATGGTTGCTGAAATGAAAGAGTCCCCACACTTTCAAACCTTTCCCACTGATCTAGAAACTTGACATTGTTTGAGGACAAACAAGGATCTAAGTATGGGGGAATTGATATGTTGTATTTTTGACACCATTCTCATGTGTTTTTGATATCATCTAAGTGCTACCCTGGAGTCCTCTTAGTGTGTTTTGAGTCATTTCAGGTGGAGAATGTGCTGGATCGCACTAGAGGTACGCATGAATGAAATGGTGCAAAAAGAGAGTGTTTTGTTGCGCGGAGCAGCATCATGGGTAGTCACACGCGTCGCGGAGCGACATCCACCTTGCTCCCGCGTTTTTAATGAGCCATGATCTATTTCGGGAAAGCTTTTGTCTGCCCTAGCAGAAGTTTATTTAACCTACAAAGAGGACTCTGGCCGCCTCTTCTCACTCACTTTTCGACCAGAGACAAAAACACATTAGTTTTTACAATTTTTGAGAGTTCTTGTTGAAGATTTGTTCTTGCTATTTTGTAAGGGTCAAGGCTTGCTCCTCTTGGTCTTCTAGGGAAGAAATCCCTGAACCCTCTTGATACTCGATTTAATTGATGCATTATTCAGTATTGATTTGTGTGTTTTCTTGTGTTATGGTTGATTAGTTGATTTGTTAGCCTAGGGTTCTAGGGTGTTGATCGAATGAACTGAACATAGAGAAACATCATTTTCGCCTTTGCTCTCGTCTTTCCTTAATGCCTATATTGATCTGATCACTTAGTATTTGATTCCAAGTAATCCTGAATTAGATTGCTAGATCTGTTGATAGCAAGCATCACATCCCCGATCAGAGAAAGTAGATATCAAGGTGTGATGTGAGCATTTTAGGTCTGTGCTTACTGTTTGCTGTTGAGCCGTGATACACGCGAGAGCATAGTATATCATTTCTCTTCCGCGAAAGGAGCACGCCTGCGAGAGCAGGGTGCTCTGGTTAGAAATCTAAGTTTAGGCTGGTCTTAAAAAGCTTGAATAATTGTTTGGTTCAGTATGGTCAACACCCAATGAAATACCCTAGGTTAGCATACTTATATCCTGATTGTTAAATCATATTGTTACTTGTTATTCAAGATTTGTTTTTCACAACACTTAATTGTTTTAGCTTGAATTTGATCCTATGGAAATAAAGTGTAGATTTTGGTCTCTGTGGATTCGATCCTTAAGTGCTACATCGACATACCATTCGATTGTGGTAGTGTGCAAATTAGGTTAATTGGTGTGTGTTTCATGTAATATCAACATCCGCCACTGTATATACTCTCTGCTTATTTAAATGTATGAAATTTTAGATTTTCATTTTGTATACAAAAAATTGATATTTTAGGATATAATAAATATATTTGTCTTTAAAATTAAACATAAGATTAAAAGATAGAAGTGGTTGAACTTTATTGATAAACTAAAAACTAATAATTAAAAGAATTGATTTTTTATTTCTTAATATATGTGCAAAACCTTAAACATCGTATTTTTAAATCCAGAGTGGAGTATTTATTTTCATTAACCAATTGCCGAAATTCAAAAGCATGGTCCTTCTACGTTACAAGAGTCTTAAAATGAGATAAGCAACTCCTAAGTTTGTTCGGCTCTACTCAAATCTTACTAAGATATATAACAAAATGTATTTTTGAACTAGTAAGCATGTTATATACTTATATATCTAGTCAATCGATTATCTTAAATGAACTAACTGAGTCACAGGTTCTATGGAAATTAAGAAGCTCCACTAATTTATTTTAAAATATATTTTAGAAATAGATAATATGAAACAAAAAATTCCAAGTAAGATTTTTTTTTTCTGAAAGACTTTTTTTTTGAAAGAAGATAAAATTTGTTCAAATAAAAAAAAACATTTGTACAAGCAGCTGTGATTGTATTCACAAGAAGCAACTTCATATTCTTATAACACCTCTTAAAAAACTATTAACTATTATATTTAATGATATAATGAAATAGTTTAATTAGCTATATATTTAACGATTAATGACATATATTTGTAGGACGCATCGATCCAAATACGGGTGCTATTCTTCCATTTTAAGGAATGACAAACATCATGAAATGAAATACATTTTCATGAAATACATCTGAATTGATTAAATTGACTCAAATCAGCTTACTAATATAAACCTTCCTGACAATTGGTAAATATCAACCCATGACCTAAAGAAATAATTATCAACTAAACAGATTCTTTTTCATATCTATAATTTAAAGAAAACAGCCATTAAAATCTTCAACTGTTAAACTAAAAAAAAAACTGATAATTCTTGTTTGAGTCAAAAAAAAATCTTTAGTTTTAAAATATTGACCGTTTTAACTCTTATACTTTATTGATTTGGCAATTTAAGAAACCTGAAAAATCAACTGTTAAACTCGAATAACAAAATTTATATTCTATATGACAGCGTTTTTAGAATCATATTGTTTAAAGAAATTCTAAATCGATTTCATCTTCATAACTTCAAAACCTAATTAATCTTCAGTTCAATTTTATGTTCTCCAAATCGATATAGAGTTAATATCCAATGAAGACAATCTTTGATTGCCTTTGAATCGAATTGGGTTTCATTATATCGAATTGGGGATTAGGTTTTCGAGTGGAGAAGATGAAATCAATTTGGTATATTTATTAAACACAATGGTTTTTCAAATATTTTCATGGTATAACAGTCATTACTCGAGTTTAACAGTTGACTATTTAAATTTCTTAAATTGCCAAATCAATAAAATATGAAAGTTAAAACATTTCATATTTAAAATTTGAGGAATGTTTTGACTCAAATAAGAGTTTGATTTTTTTTTACTTTAATTCAAAATATTCAAGGTTTTATTGGTTGTTTTCTCCTTAATGTCTTTGTTAATGAACACAGAGAAAATAGGTACTTTGTTGTTTCAATATTAAAAGCCCATTGGCTTAGCAAAATATTGAGTAATGTGAATGAGAAATAAAATGGCATAGTGAGCAACTTTTGCTAAAACACACTAATGAAAGTTTTTTTTTTTTTAACTATACAGAGGTATTCTAGTCCCCACCGAAGTATATCCAAACTAACCACATATTAGCAGCATACGTTTTCGGTTCACTTGCCAATCCCTTGTACCAGCGATGCTGAAATTTTTATTTTGCAGTAGCCGCGATTCAAATCCTAGTGGTTTTACTGTATTGGATATCGTCTTCAAATTAAAACCACTGAGCCATAAGCGCCCCGGTTAACACTAATAAAAGTTAAATCTCTCAGATTGAAAGTTCGATAAATTCTCTGGTAGTGAATTCAAATGGCTTAAATACTATGTAAAAGAATGGTGCTCCACGCACATGCCATGTACGTGGGCTTTGGACTTTAGGGAGTAGCTGAAAGTGGTTCTTCCTCTTCTTTTTAAATACTCATGTCTCCTCTCATTTATTCGACGATTTTTACATCAGTATACCAAGACAAACAAATTCCCATAGAAAGTCTTTTAGTCGAGAGTACTTTGTAGAGATTAATCATGAGTGACAAGTGTATAATCGTGATTTTATCCCAAGACTCCTAATTTATTTATATCTACTCGTAATTTGTTTAGGAGTTAAAAAAAAGATATCATCGCTCAAATCTATAGTCTTGTTTATAAAATCGTTTAACAATGATTCATCTATTTATTTCTTATTATTGTTTGAATGAAGGTTTGGTTACAAAACTAATTGAAACCACAGTCTGTTTAACATCTAATCGAGTCATCTCCTCTGTTGCCCCAAGTGGGATAAGCGAAATCTCCTATGGATTCCCATAATCGCCTATGCCCCTTTTTATCCAACGAGATGTGAAATGAGGGAATTGCCCCTAACATTGGTGGAAAATAATTAAAAAAAAAAGAAAATACGAATTTGGTTCGGGTAGCAGCAGCTCGGGTTGGTGGATTTGGTTTCAGGGAATGGTTTGGGTTTCGGTTAACAGTTTGAAACTAAATTCAATTAAGAAAAAAATCTAAAAATTAAAAGAAATTAAATGAGGTTTAGGTTTCCAGCTCGAGCTCACTCCTCTCTTCTCCCTCTCGAGAAGCTCGTTTTTCCCGCCCCAGAAACTCTCCGTCGAGCTCCTCTCTGGCCTAGAAACTCTGTTGTCGACGCCGTCGGACCTAAACATTTCCACCGGCTAGTATTCATTCGGACAGGTCGTAATGCAGGTTAGTTATTCTCTCTCTGTGGGAGCTGGAAGATAGAAATTGGATCTAGGGTTTGTAGGTAACTAAGAACTACTTGTATAACTAAAACTATTTTATTTTGTTTTTGCAGGATACAATGATGAAAAATGTGAGCGTCTATTTTAAATTCAAAGGGCAGATCTCTTGTGTAACCTTGAAGACATCCGTGGAGGATATAAGTTTGGCAATTCTAGAAGAAAAGTTGTATAAAAAGCTTGGGTTGGATGAAAGAATGGTAAAACTGGCATTGAAGTGCATGCCGATGGTGTATGGATCTGAAGAACAGCAAAATATTCATGATGATGATGATCTGTTTGGTTTCCTAACAACAGTCGATAAAGACAACCGCATAGCTCTTTTGTTAGTGGAGGAGATGAGTAGATCAGATCAGTTAGAGAAGTTTCCGAGAGTGGGCATAAGTTCGTTTGGTATGAACTACGATGTGTTGCAGGGAAATGATGATGTAGATGATGAAATCGGACCTAAGGCCATAACTGTGTATGTAGAAAATGGTCAAGCAAATCAACAGAATGAGCTGATAGTTGTAGAGAATGATTTTATGGATACGGAAACGGACACCGCAGCTGGGACAGACACCACAGCGGAGACAGATACCGCAGCTGAAACGGACATCGCAGCTGAGACGGACACCACAGCTGAGACGGATATGGGTGCAGATTATGTTGAGGAGCCACCTATAAAAAAAGCTATTCCGGTTATAGAGGATTGGGAAGACGGTTCGGGTCTGCTTAAGTTTCAAGAGTTTCAAAGTAAGAAAGCACTTTAAGAGGTGGTGGATAGAGCTGCATTTGGTCAATCCTTTCGTTATGTTATTCAAAAGTTGGATCGGAAAGGATTCGTGGTAAAATGTTGTGAAGGAAGCTGTAAGTGGGGTTTACGAGCTGCAAGGATTGCAGAGACTCAAAATTTTTTCCTGTTTGGAGGTACACAGGTGTACATACATGCTCTCGATCTAATCAAAGTAAAAGCAGCAACATCAAGAGGAAAGACTCAGCAGAATTAGTTGCAACTTTTCTGAATGAAGAATATCCTGGAAAACTGAGAACTCCTGTTCCAAAAGATATCATGAAACTTATGAAGCTAAAATTTGGTGTAACAATATCTTACTCCACAGCCTTGAGAGGGAAAAATCTAGCTATTTCTGAGTTGCGTGGTGGTTCAGAAGAGAGGTACAAGATGCTATATAGCTACTTGTACATGTTAGAGCAGGTCAATATGGGAACAAAAACATGGGTGAAGTTGGATGAGGCAAATAAGTTCAAGTACCTCTTCATAGCTCTGGGAGCTTGTATTGAAGGTTGTGCAGCCATGAGAAAGGTGATAGTTGTGGATGCCACATTTTTGAAGAATTGGTATGGTGGTGTACTAGTATTTGCTAAAGCTCAAGATCCTAATCGTCACCATTATCCGCTTGCGATTAGTATACTCGACGGTGAAAATAATGCTACCAGACTCTTCTGAATTAGTTTTTATGAGCGATAGAAACCAGAGCCTCATCGCGGCTGTAGCTAATGTGTTTCCACAATCTCACCATGCCCATTGTATATAGAATTTGTCTCAGAATGTGAGAGGGCATACTGCTAACACAACCAAAGCCGTAGTCGGATGGAGATTTATGGAGTTGGCTAGGTGTTACACGGTGGCTGAGTTTGAGTCTGCTTACGAATCTTTTAAGGTGAGTTATCCTCCAGCGTACAAGTATTTGGAGGAGCATACTCAGAAGAGCACATGGGCTCGGGTTTATTTCCCAGGTGTCAGATACAACTTGGACACTAGCAACAGTGTGGAGTCAATGAACAGTGTGTTTAGGGACGCCATAAGGTATGCTTTAATACCATTGTTGGATACAATCATCAAGACGTTTTCTGACTGGTTTTGATGAACATCGGAAGGACGCTGTGTCGATTGATACCAAAGTGGCTCCTCTTATTGAGAACCACATCCATAAAATATGGGGAAAAGCTGAGAAAACACCAGTGCGCGAGCTAAATAGTTATGAGCTTGAGTACGAGGTAACCGACACTGATAATGGGAAGAATTATGTTGTGAACTTGATAGAGAAGAGCTGTACTTGCAAGGTTTATGATTATGAAAAGTATCCTTGTCTACACAGACTTGCTGCTTACTTATAGTTCCTTGAGGTAGATGCTGCTCCTGGTCGTCGACATGATGTGAGGATATAATATGAGGAGTTGTGCTCGAAATATTACTGGACGAAACTTTGGGCACTGGCTTATTACAAGACCATTTATTCTGTGCTGGACAGGTCTGATTGGAATGTACCAGATCACATCAAAGAGCTGCAGATCATACCTCCAGATCGACAAAAGAGGAAGGGAAGGAAAAACAATAACAGGAATCCATCTGTTGGGGAACGACATAAAAGGACACAAAACAAAAGGCGAGCAAGGCAAAATTTCAGTTTTAGTTGGCTGTTGTTTGGAATGCGTAGTAATAATCCCAGTGAAGCAAACTGATCTCTTTTGTTTGGATTGTATTGTTGTTGGTATGTTGCTTTTGGTATGTTGCTTTTGGTACGTTGCTTTTTGTATTTTTGTTTTGGTATGTTAAAAACATTGGTAAAACTAAGAATATCTTTTCTGGTAAAACTAAGAATATCTTTTCTTGTTATAACTCTAATAAATGAAATAGCTCAATACATACTGCAACTCCTCTTTCGCTCTCTTCTCTCTCTTTGAGGTATCTCTCTCTCTCTCTTGACTCTTCTCCTTCTCAGGAAAAAATAGGGAAGATGCAATGAGATGGATCAGGATCGTCTAGGAGAAGTGATATACCATGATTTTGACCCGCTTTTGGTCATATTTTCTATAGGTTTTTATTATAATTATCTATGTTTTGGAGTCTATTAGGTATATTTTCAGGTTCAGGAGCATTTTGTGGTAAAGTGATGATTTAGGTGCCTTTTGGTGCTTAAAGAAGAGTTTTCCAAGATGACTATGAAGATCCGACATAAGAGATACATATCGATCGATACACACCCTGTGTAATCGATCGATGATGCTTCCGTAGAAGTTGAAGTCGAGATACTCCATCGATCGATGTACGCAATGTACCATCGATCGATACAGAGCGTGATGAGCAAGATTTATTTGGCCAACTTGAAGCCCAAGTTCTCACCAAATTACAAGACTGCCCCTGACGAGTTTTTAACCTAATTGTACTCCCTATTTATAGCTATGCCTATGAGCCTTAAAAGAT